TCTTCCGCCAGCCAGTGCAACGGGATTTTAATCTCTACTTTGTTCATTCTATTTCATGTGATATTTGTTATCTCTACTTTGTTCGTTGTTATTTATTTATTTGTTATTTCTTCACAATAGTATGGAGTCACTTGCTTGAAGTCAATTTAATTTTTATTTTTATTTTTTTTAGATTGCTTAGCACTGGCTGGTGTGCATTGTTTACTATTTATTTTAAATTTAGTTTTTTGGTATTGTAGAGCCATGGCTGGTGTGCATTGTTTGTTATATATATTTTGAATTCTATTTTTCTAGATTGCAGAGCACTTGCTGGTGTGCTTCATTTGGTGTTTAATAATTTTTTGGTATTGCAAAGCACTGGTTGATGTGCATTGTTTATTGTTTATTTTTAATTTCTAAATGGCTGGTATTATTTGGTAACGAGTGAATAATGAAACAAATATATATACCTGTGCTTAGGGGTTGTTATCTTTAATTGAGCTTTGTAGAGCGTGTGGTACCAACAAAATTGCAGAGTGTGGGTTTTAAAAACAATATTTCTTTATATTTCTCAATGTCTTAAGTTTTTTGTATGTTTTTCAATAAATTACATTTGTATTCAACTACATTTTGATCTCAATATTATTTATATCGTGTCATTATGCACCAGCATACTTTTTATTTTGTACTTTACATACCTCTTATTCTTCCCTTTGTATTTTGTTTATGTACCTGCTCTTCTCATCTTCATTGTAACCCTCTCTTTGAAATTAATTTTTATATTTTATTATCCGATTTGCTACTAAAATTGTTATAAGTTGTTTAAGAATAATAATATTTCTTTATATTTTTTTAGTGTCTTTATCAAAAAATCAAAAAATGATACAAACTCTAAAGTAGGTTGTATGTTATAAGTATGTTAGGAGGTTATTAATTTTGTGTCGATTAATTTTTTTTATGGCAATTATTAAACCTCATTTTGCCTTCTTGCAGTTATCTTTTTCAAATTGACATAACTAGACATTTTCAGGTTGAGACACTCTTGACCTTTAACTTCTAATTATGGACAACATTACTATTTTTGGTCACGTAAGTTGTTTTATTTTTAATTTATTTGAAAAAAAAAATACAAAATGCTAAGTGACCTTTCTTATAAGTCTAAGTTAATTTTCTTTTCTTTTCATTATTTTTTATCTGATTTCCTTATAACAAAATGCTATTTTCTTATATTTTACAGATGGATGGAGACCTACGTCAAACTGTAATATCGACTCCTTTTACTCATTTTCTTACATGCATATATTTTTTAATTTTTTTTACCTCTAATTCTTTTGTATTTATAGGTTCAATTTCTTGAAGAAAGAAATGCTAATGTTGTCATCCGTGATAAGCATGACCTTAATGTCATCCGGGTTCGAGAGGTAGGCCCAATTTAATTATATAGAATTTTTTTTAATTGTCGTATTTTTTAAACTTTCTAAATATATATATTTTTATTGCGCACACCAGTGTTTAGTCATGGACAACTGTACGTGGCCCTATCTAGATGCACATCTTTTGATCGTACAAGTGTCTTCCTTCCCAACGATGAGCTAGATTCTACTACAAACATTATTTATCTTGAAATTTTGTTATAGTGTTACTTATGGATCAAATCACTTTTGTCAAAAGGTACAATGTATTTATTGACAAATTTGCTTCTATTGATTACAAATTATTATTTTAAATTTTTTTTGCTATATATGTTGACTTTTGTAGGATTGGGTTAAAAAATATATGGACCTCAAAAAGATAAATACAATTAGATTGCTTTGACAGAGATGTAACAAGGTAATTTCAATTTAAAAGTGTTTTGATATTTATATAGATTTTCTTCTACTAACAAACTAACTTTTTTATTTTCATAAATTACTAGATTGTCGCGCATACTTCTCATTGGAGATATATAGAAGTTGAAACAAATACTTTTTGGAAAGTGATGAGGCGCTCTTAGGAATTCTAAGAAAGAACAAGTTTGAAGATCATATTTATTTTTGTAAAAAGCGTACATATGCTAGCTACGATCTAGATTTTGTAAAGTTTCATATCGATGTAAATTTTAGTTTCGTAAAGCCTTTTATCTATGTGCAATTTATAAATAAGTTCAGATGTATATTATATAATATTTATTTGAATTATTCACTTGGTGTTATAGTCTTTTTTTCTTCCTAATATGCTCTTGAATTAGCGTAAAGAAAACTTCATATTTTTTTTTTGGTTGAATTTGATTTTTTGCTTCCATATATATTTTTATCAGGAAGGGTGTTGCTTTTAATATAGGATTGGATTGTGTACGTATTAATCTTTTAAAATAATTGTTTATTACACAATTTTTTATATATATATTTTTTTTGAATTGCAACGTACGGCTGGTGTGCTTAATTTGTCATTTTTTTTTCTATTGTGGAGCACTGATTGGCCTGCTTAATTTGTTATTTGTCCTTTTTTTGTATTATAAAATATTGGTTGATGTGCTTAATTTATTATTTGGCATTTTCTTTATATTGCTGAGCATTGACTGGTGTGCTTAATTTATTGTTTATTTTTTTCTATTACAGAGCACTGACTGGCGTGTTTCGTTTGATTTTTATTATATGTTTGTGTTGGGGCACTTACATTTTATTGTGTGCTTAAAATCATAAAATCATTCCAATTATATTTTCATTCCAATACTGCCTCCGCCCCAAAATATTAGTCCCTTATTCCATTTTTCATTGTCCCAAAATATTAGTCTCTCTTTAAAAATCAAGTATAAAAATAATATAAATTTCCTATTTTACCATTCTTTTAAATTAATAAATAATATAAAAGTACAATTATGACATTGATATTCCCAAAAAATGTACTATCAAAAGGGTAATTTTGAAAAATCAATTGTACTACTAAAAAAAATTGGATTCCCCATAAGGGACCATTATTTTGGAACAGAGAGAGTAATATTTTCACCGTGCCTTCAGGCACGGGCATACCCTAGTATATCTATATAACAATGGATATTTATTTATTCACCTCAAATTTTTTTCATTTCCCAAAAGGGACCATTATTTTGGGACAGAGGGAGTAATATTTTCACCGTGCCTTCAGGCACGGGCATACCCTAGTACTACTATATGTCCAAGTGTCACCTATCTGTACACCGTCACCTATCTATTCAATATCTGTCCAATGTCACCTACTTGTCCACCTTACTATTATCAGTCTACCGGAAACTTTCTGGTGACTTTTCCGGCCATTTTTGTAACGGTTTTTCTAATAATTTTTCAACGCATATCATTATCACAAAAAAAAAAAAATTAAACATTAAATCAAATAGCATTTGACCCTATAAATATAAACTTTTCACCCATAACTCCTTTTCTTTCGCTCGATATGTGAGGCTGTGAATAATGATATATATTCGGAATTTTACCCCGTGTCTCCCGGAAGCTAGGTTTCACTACAAAAAATTAAGATTTTAAAGACCAAAATTTAGGGACAAAATTAATTTTTAGGGACCAAATATTTTTGTTGCAAAAAGTGTCGTTATTATATTTTTAACAACGAAAATTAGACATTAGTAATGAATTATTATTCTTTTGGGACCAAATTTTTTGTCTCAAAAAATAAACTATTTTGAGACCAAATTATTTTGTCCCTAAAAGTCTATTTGCTAGTGATATTTTCAATTTGTCACTAAAAGACTTGTTTTTTACTTTTCAAGACGACCTTTTAGTTCTCATTACGATAGAAATTGATTCCTAAATGTCTTTTGTAATAAAATTTTCACTTTTACAAGTCAAAACATTTAGCCTCTAAAACTTTTATATGTTATAGTGTTCAAAGGGTTTTTTGTTGCTAAAAAAAATTACTTAAACAAGTTTTGTACATGTGTCACTTTGTTTTCCCTGGCGGCATTGGATTTGGATAGGTAGGAATGCGTTTAGTGTGAATTTTTTTTTTAAACGACGTTATTAGTGGGAGTTGAACATTGTTGCTTTGGTTCATTTTTCTTTCAAAAAATATTAATAAACTGGAGATTAGAAAAAATAATTTTAAAATGATGACAGTACAAGTCTTTTTTATGTAAATTTATGCATGAATCACTTGTCCTTTTATCATTGTGAAATTATTTTATCTACACACCATTTTTTTAAAATTCTCCCATTTTCTTTTTTGAGCCTTTGAATTTTTGAAAATTCTCCCATTTTCTTTTTTGAGCCTTTGAATTTTTGAAGCTTTGAAAGTTTATTATGACTTTATATATTGCATGCTAAAGCGTTTTAAGAATACAAAAGAGGACAGAGTGTAATTGAAGAATGGAAGTCAATTCCGTGGATACCACTCCTATTTCTCAAGTCAGAGAGACTCTCATCAAAGCCATGCAACCGCGACAAACATCCCCCCCAAATGGCGCCGTCCCTTCAACCAAGCCAACCCTACCCCAAACCCAACCCGAAAGAGCAATGCTATATCATTGAGTGTATAATAGATTAAAAGTTGACACATATAATACTACATTATTATAGGTATAATTGTAGGTATTTTTTGTGGGTCAAACATTTTCCCATCTGATATTTTGTTCTAATTTATGTACTCCCCAAATTTTGGGTTAAAAATGGGTTAGGCTAAAGTGGGGAGTGGGGAGGGGTGTGAGCAAGTTCGAATTGGATGGTTTAGGAAAAATAATCTCAACCCAATCGCTTTTGTGGGTAGACAATCTTAACCCGCCATCAACACATACAACCTCAATCAGCAAGTTAGTTTGAGTATTTTTGCGATTTTAAATGAATAAGTTTGGCAAGTTGACGAGTTGTAAATTTTAACATATTATATGAACACATTTTAAAATCATATAACTCAATATAGAGGAGTTTGGAGCTAGCTCAAGTTCGAAGCTCCAGTTGGTGAGAAACCAACAAAAAGAGAAAAACAAAAATTAGAAGCATTAGCAACGAAATTACAGCCATAACAGAGCAAACTAGCAGCATAGTAGATCACCAAGACTAATAGATCAGCAGGCTTAGCAGCTAATTCCCAACAGATCAACAGATCATCACCAAATCACCAAGACAAACAACTTATTCCAAGGCTAAGCAGCAGACTTTTAGCTCCGCAAGGTTCTCATTTCCAAAATCACCTTTAAACAACACCAAATCTGACTGGTCTTGCTTTCAACGGCAAGCCACTTCAGCTACCCAGCAGAGGATGAACATAACCTCACAGCAATGCAAGACTGGTGCAGCATAGATCAAATCCTCTTCCTAAACAAGACTGTTAAACGGAGGCACACAGCCAGCCACCTGGATGCCAAACAGCTCCACCATCTTCCTTCTAAGGCCCAAAGTGCAGACCAACAAGGCTGGAGAAACAAGGCAGACTTGAGCCTAACCCAGAGAGCAGACCAACAGATCAGACCAACCAAAGTGCAGACCAACCCAGAATCCAACAGATCAGCCCAACCCAGAAACCATCAACCAGCGACTGAAGATTAGTGTCTAAACCAGAGGCAGACCAACAGATCTGATTCAGAACAGAACTGAAACCGACCCACACAGAACAACAGAACATCAGAAGAATAGTGCAGCAATTAACACACAGCCATCCAACTCTGTCAAGGTAGAATAGTGCAGCAAACCTTCTAGCATAGAATCTGCCTAACATGCTGCAAATTTAACACCAGCTCCTGAACTGAGTAGAAACTATCCCTTGACTGAAGATTAGTGTCTAAATATTATAGGTATAATTGTAGGTATTTTTTGTGGGTCAAACATTTTCCGATCTGATATTTTGTTCTAATTTATGTACTACCCAACTTTTGGGTTAAAAATGGGTTAGGCTAAAGTGGGGAGTGGGGAGGGGTGTGAGCAAGTTCGAATTGGATGGTTTAGGAAAAATAATCTCAACCCAATCGCTTTTGTGGGTAGACAATCTTAACCCGCCATGAACACATACAACCTCAATCAGCAAGTTAGTTTGAGTATTTTTGGGATTTTAAATGAATAAGTTTGGCAAGTTGACAAGTTGTAAATTTTAACATATTATATGAACACATTTTAAAATCATATAACTTACAATATAAATATGAAGGTACAAAATAAAAGTAAAATAAAATGTTTGATGATATACCTGTGCTTAGGAAACTTTGACAGTGGTCTACTATCTAAACAGGTGATTACTGCTGGCAACTTAAGGAATGTGACGCTGAATTAATCAAGGGTTACAAGAATGAGAAGTGAGTTGGATCGGGGGGGCTGGAACCCAGTCATTCGAAGGAGGAGCGTGGGCAATCATAGTGGTCAGTCAAGGGAAGGAGTTTTGATCACAGTTTTCGTGGATAACATCCCTGAATCCATGGATCCTCCAGGCTTGTTCTATCTCTTTCGGAAGTTTGGTCTAGTCAAAGATGTGTTCATCCCGGGGAAGAGGAGGAAAGCAACAAATACCAGGTTTGGTTTCGTTAGATACGACTGTGAGGTGGCGGGGTGAGCTAGCTTCCTGCTCTTCCCCTCCTTTGTTGATGTAATTTCTTGTTTTGTATGGTTCTTGCATCTATAAAGGTTTTCTTTTGCTGATCAAAAAAAAAAAAATATCAGTCTCTTATAACCTTCTACCCAACCCTATAAACCCAAATTTAAGCCAAAAAACCAGCCAACCCATAACTAAAACCAATCAGGTGACGCTCAAAATCAGTTGGCCAAAAAAATGAAAAGAAAAACCTCTTCTCTATATTCTTTTTTACTATCCTATTGACATACTACCAATCGGTTATCAAGTTCAAAACAATTGATTTTATTATTATTGAGAATTTTCTTTGTGTGCTCAATCCATACCTTATAGACCTCATCAACAATTTGTGAATCAAGACTAGTTCAATTTGGAAGAAAAATAAAACAACTAGCATATTCGAAATATTTGATTTGTTGGCATGGACAAGTTCAATATTTAGACAAGAACTAAGAAATATTATTTTTCTCAGTCGAGAAAAATGATGCAGCATGAGCATGAACCAACTTTATTATTTCAATTTTATAATTTTATTCCTTTAATATTTATTTTAATTATAGTTCAATTAGGAGTCAAGTCTTTAGTTTCTTATTCTATTAGGGATTAAATTTTAGAATAATATTAGGATTTAATTTTGTATTTTGAATTATGTTAT